GCAGCACCTGTGATCCTCATGATGATGATCATCATCAACAACATCACCCTCCTCTTTCTTAACCTCATCACATCATCAGTCTCCTTTCCTTTGCTTTCTAAGATTGGGTGTCAAGCAATTGTAAGGATTAAAGATCAACGAACTTCAAACATAAAATAGAAAGAGCACACGTTTATCATTGAGCACCTATTACTCATGACATATACATGATAATGACACCAATCTGTTTGTCAAGCGAGGACACTACTGTACAATGCAATGTGACATTAACACGCTATGTACTATCTGTGCCAACTCCTGACAATGATGCTCACCTATTTTCCCAGGACACAGATGCAGAGAAGAAAAAAATAATAATACCTGCTTTGTAGAGAACACATAAAATGAGTTTTTAAATTAAAGCAATTTAGTTTCAATAGTAGTTGTTATATATTTTTAGATATGCAATGTTGTTATGGCTACATAATGAATGTGACCATGACATTGTTTGGAAGAGGTGTTTATTGGAGTTGGAGTACTAAGTAAGGATAAGGACTTAATCTGAAATTATCGAAATCCCAACACAGGCAGGTTTGAAATACATATAATTGATGTTTTATTATTTTATAACTAATTGCAACTACTGAAACTAATAACTGTAAGGCATACCATCGACAAAACTATTGGCATTGTTATATTCCAATTGATATTCTATTGTAGGGCAAATAATTGAAATAACAATAGTTCAAAATATCGTTACACACATATTTTCCAGCCTGTATATTCTTAATGTTATCAACAGACATCAGTTAACTTATAACAGCTAACATCATGATTACGTTACATTTTATAAGGCAATCTAACCGTCAGGGTTGATCAGGGTGCCAATAATATTTTGGGAAAAAACAACACTACAATGAATTCAAGCAAAGAGGATATCTAAAAAAGGCATGCTTTCAATCAAACATAGCAATGAATAATAATTTGTTTCACTTCTACAATATTTATATCAGAAACATGTGTAAAACAAGAAAACATTTCATCTGGCCTGAAGGTTAATGTAAAGGAAACAATGTATTACAATACAAGCTGCCAAAAAAATAAATCTTCATGTTTTATTTCATATCCTATCCATCATACACCAATAGTGTCATTCAAACAAAATACAATGCAAGAATTAACAGCTGATCTATATTGTCAAAAACAATTTCTTCAAATTCAAAATTGATGTAACCACTTCCTTTGAAGACAAAAGAAAACAGATCAAAAGATTTGAACATTAAGTAGTTCCCTTACTGTGGCTGTCACCAAAGCCTCAAGCATCCAGTGTCTCTATGACCATGACAGAGGCTGACCACTGACCACACAAAGAAGTCCCCAAATCTGTGGAAACCAGTGACGATTCAATGGACAAGCCATCATGCGACACCTCTCCTGACCACAATACCTGCTTAACACCAATAGCTGTTCCACATCAGCGCATACAATCCTTAATTTATTGTTCCCAGTTGGATACAAGATATTACGCTAACATTTAGTTTATGTCTTCGGGGCTTTGAAGGATAAGCTGAATGGTAAGTTCAGCATGAACTGGATTGAATGTTTAGTGGAAGTTCAGGAGACAGACCTTGTTGGGACAACACTTTCGTCTCGATTCATGTTGACCAAAGATCAAACTTAAAATATCAACTTGGACCAGATGTCATTTCTTGGTGTTTACATACTATATTTGTGAAAAATCCTGATATTCAGAAAGCAGGTTTCTTGAGCTGTGCGGCACAAGTTTCAAACTTGCAACTTTCATTCCAGACAACGCTTTTAAAAGCTGAATCAGTCATACAGCACGTAACAGTAGTTCGGAATGCCCTGTGTTAAGCTTTAGAGGTTGCATGATTAGAAAACATATTCCATTAACAATATAACATAACAATATAAATATTTAATTTTTCTTTATATTTTCATGTAGTTTCCGATTTTCGTCCATGAACGTTCATACATATGATTTCATTTATCATACTCAATAATCTGACATAATCATATGCAACCAACTGTGTTGGATTAACACAACTTTACTGTACATACTTTACTGTCTTACGAATGTAAAACAAGGGAAGTTACTCTAATCTAATGACCTGGTACTGTAGCTCAACATGGCCCCGTTCCGCAAAGCGATTGTTGCGCTAAAGTGATCGTAACTCCCACAGTTTAACGCAGACTTACGACAGCCGTAGTGCTACTATCGCTTTGTAAAACAGAGCCCAGGCATATTACAGTAAGTGAGGCATGTTTTTTATGCATTCTTTTATTTCAGTACTCAAGAGGCTACAGGCCGATAGTAGATTACAAATATAATAATAAAAGTTATACATTTATTGAAGTGTAATATGTTTCAATGTAACATTGCATAATAAATAGGGATGAGCATATTCTGCAGTGTATCATAGTTTGTACTGCTTATCAATGTATCTATTTTTTGAAGTAGTAAAAGGTTGGCAGTTATCAGGGTTTTAAATGTATCATGTTGTAATGTGGTCTGGTTGATGTGAGCAGAGCTCCAGATAAGCTTTTGGTGTTGTGGGTATTTTACCCATGCATTTTAAAATCATTGGGTATCAGTAATTCTATCTGGGTATTCAAATTTCTGTTACCCACTAGTTTTTACACATGTGGGTCTTTAAGTTAAATATTTAAAAACACTATTCATTTAGTCCCTTCAAACTGGTGTCGTGTGGGTTCGAGAGTTTTATAGGACTAAAAAATATCACGATACTTCCACAAGAAAGTGTGATGGCAAATGATCATGATGTAACTGTCATCGTGGAGTTTGGCAAGGTTGACGGAATGCCCGTTTATAATTTCAAAATAAGTTGCTGATTTGCTAATCGAATACGCAGGGTGACTTCACAATATTTTGATCATACGCACAAGTTATATTTTTGTAGCGTATCTGTAATGTTTGTTGCGTATTTGATACACTTGGATTTTATTTTACTGCGTCACTAATTTCTGCATTTCTGATGTATATTTTACGCAGATACGCAGCTTATCTGGAGCTCTGTGTGAGACATCAATTTAATGTTCTCCAAACTTTTAAGAAAACTGTTTTGTTAACAAACATCAGTTAATGTTTTAACACATTGGTTTCATAACATTGTATTGTAACATACCTTATCTTCACATGATCAGCAATGATTAAAGTTGAAGGCATATTATGATGCACCAGGATACTCTCATCATGTGATCTTTTAATCATTATCAATGAAACCAAGTTTCAACTCAATAAGTGCAATATCGTGACCATATTTTGTCATTTTGGGGTCTTAAAAAAAACTGTCAAATTCTTATCTTAATGACATGATCAAGTCTTTATTCCATTTCTGTGCTATAAATATACTACCAAACATAAACCAAACATTTTCGTTTCTTTAAGTAATTTATATTTTACCTATTTACAGAAAGAAAAAGACTATTACTGACATCAACCAGTCTCAGTCCGAATGTGTTGCTTCGCATCACACCAAGCAGGGTTTCCTGAAGGTTTCCAAGAAGATTCTTAACGATTTTCCACAATCTGAATTACTTTTTTCATGCTAATGGTAAATATCTAAGACTGCAATCACTTCAGGTTGACATACAGTGTTGAAATGAAATACTCCACAAAGCGGTGTTAACCTAAACTCATCCACTCACTCATTCTTTTTTTGATAGTAAGAATAAATCAGTCCTGTCATGCTCTAGACAAGATATCAGGTTCATCCCTTTAGTCAATTCAGAGAAGACGTTAAATGTAATCAGTCAGGGGTCGAGAACTAATGCCGATTTTACTGTGCTAGCCCCCTGAGGTACCATGCCACAGTTTAACATGGATACCCCACTCAGACACATTGTACTGACCACAAGCCTACCAGTCCTTGTTTTAGCCCCTTTATGCCAAAGCACCAGACAGGGTAACAACAAATAGCACCAGACAGGGTAACAACAAATGCCATCTTTTAACGTCTTTTGGTATGACATGGTCGGGGATCGAACCCCGGACTTCCTGCTCTCCAGGAGGATGTTCTACCATTAGACCACGGAAGTGGTCTGTTCATAGTCAGATGATGAACACAATGGGCAAAGCACCACGTGATAACCTCACCTGGTCATTCGGTCATGGTGAGGTGGAAGGAAGCCTGATAGAATTTATGCAATCTAGGGACCAAACACAAGACAGGAAACAGACACTGAAGATTGTATAAAGAGTTGATGGCCAAAGATATAACATACATGTACTTTGAGACAGGTGACAGGCCATCAACAGATCTTTTGTAGATATGCTCTGAGATTGTATACAGATCACGCTCTACAGACTGTATACGGTGACGCCTGGCTGGATACTGTAATCATTTTGCTTTTAATGACCCTGACAAAAGCATCTTGCATCTGCTGACAACACTGCCCTCAAGACAAGGAAAATGTCTCAAAGACGCCCATCAGAGAGTTGTATCTCCAAGGTACAACAATATATAAATCCTCGTACAACTACAATCGATCACATACAACCACATACATCCATGTACAACCACATTCAACCACATATACCCACATACAATCACATTCAACACATACACCCACATACATCAATGTGCAACCACATTCAACCACATACACCCACATACAATCACATTCAACACATACACCCACATACATCCATGTACAACCACATTCAACCATGTACAATCATATTCAACCCCATACACCCACATACAATCACATTCAACACATACACCCACATACATCAATGTACAACCACATTCAACCATGTACAATCACATTCAACCACATACACCCACATACATCAATGTACACCCACATACATCCATGTGCAACCACATTCAACCACATACACCCACATACATGTTACAACCACGTACAACCACATAGAATCCTGTCATTATCAAGTGAAACAATGTTCCTTGTAAGTTAAACATTAAATGTTTCCCCCAACTGTTGATTACACCCCTGACAATACGGCCCCTTACCTTAATCTTTCCTTCTCCTTTTGTCGTAATTCAAAATCCTTCTGGATCACTTGCAACACTTGTTCACATTCTTCCTGGGAAAGATGTGTTAAATTCACTTTCCGTCCCATTGTGTGTTGCTACACTGCAATGACACAAACGAAAGAAGCAATTATTCTTTAGATCCTCAGATCTTAAGACTGTAAATTCAATTTGTGGGGTGGTCCTTGAGACTGGATGATGTGATTGACGACTTATATTTCATCCACAGTGAAATGCAATACTGACATCAGGTCATGGATTTCAGCCCGCTGAATTTATCCAAATAAAAAATGTTTATCCAGTTAATTTTTTTTCTAACATCAATGAAACAAAACAACAGTCTGAATGCTGTTGAAATATGTTCTGGCAAAAACACTATTGAAATATGTTCTGTGGAAACAAAGTTGAAATATGTTCTGTGGAAACACTGTTAAAGTTATGCTCCAGTAGAAACACTGTTGAAATATGCTCCAATAAGCGAGTATGGAGAAATAGTTAATTCAACGTACATTTTGTAGACGTCAAGTGTCTGACACAGGCCTTGTAAATACTATGATCTAACAAGTCACGACGTCACAGCTTGTCAATTTCACTGCTGTCAAGACATGCCACTCCAACTGTCACTGGCTATCTGTGTTTACTTCAATACACGCTTCTTCTTTTACTTCAGCAGACTCAAAATGAAAACCATCAATAAAAAGACCAGTATTCCATACACTTGCAACGGACATCAATATCTCCTCATGCCGTGTAAATAGAGAAGTGCAATCCATTTACGTACATTTCAATCGAAAGTCGAAATTGACACATATTCAACAGATCATGGATGAGATGAGTAAATATTCGAATAAGATACTCCACATCTCACTCCTCCATTAAAATTCCACCGAAATCGACGCTCCTAGAGGGGTGATAGTCCCCAAGGACTCCACACATGAAATCGACGAGGGTAAATGTTATCTCCTCTCCCACACATCATATACATTTGGCTCACGAGAGGATGGACACGGTCTAGCTCTGCTCTCAAGCTGAACGCTGTGGTTACAATAATCGTTGTCCAACACAATAGCAAGATTGCCACTCTCTCAGCTGTATGTGAAGCTTGTATGTTTCACTCGCTCAGCAAGTCAGCTGGTGTCAATTGCCTGAAGACACTGTGCAATGAACGAGCCCTGAAGACAAAAACAAAAAGGGATTAGTGAGCAATTATGGTCAGTGACTGAATACATACAGTGAAATGGGTATGGGCCTCTTGCATCTCTTACATAATGCATTCTCTGAAGGAAATCGCTCCTTCAGTCCCACGGCTTGTATCTAACTCCCCTAACTTCTGTAATGTACATGTCTACAAGAATGGCTGGAGGCTTCATGGTGTCGTTACAACTTCTTTGAGCTTTTGCAAGTTCATGTAACATGGTGCCTAGTCTCATATAATACCATGTGAACACATTATGTCGTGACTGACTCAAGTTAACACGTGTTGAAATCAGCACTTCCATGAGTGTACGAATGAGTTGGGATCAACGCCTGTTTCGAACAGTATTCGGTCATATCATGGTGTCGGGAGGAAGCACTGAGTGTTGTAGTTTGTAGGCATTTAACTACTTTGGTAAAACCCAGGGGCATGATGTTGACAAACCAGAGTCCATTATCAGATCAAGCACTAATTAGGGATTTCTGGTTGGTTATGGGAGCCGGTTGCAATGCCTCCAGTTATTATGTTTCTAAAAGAAGACAAAGTATATCACCATTTATTTGTCCAAACAGTCTGTCTGTTTGTTTGTTTGTTTGTTTGTTGAAGCCTGCAATATTTAACTATATGACAGCAACCTTTAAACATTGAAGACAAGGCAAGATAAACCAGTGATTGCTAATTTGAACAACATCACACCAGTGTACGATGAAATGCCATCAACCATGTCACTGAAACAGACCACCCAATTCATGAAGTAACCTCGCCCAACAAACAGAGGTTGCTGTGAATTCCAACCCAGAATCTTATCACAGTGTTTGTACATGGATGACAACTTTATCATGAGTGAGTGAGTGAATTTAGTTGAACGTCCACTGGAACAGTATTTCAGTTGTCACTGCAAGTCATCTTGATGTGGTGGGAAAACCCACAGTGATGGTAACTATTATGGTGAAGGCCCAGGACAAACACCAATATGGTGCTGATAAAGCAGCGATCATAATCAGGGCAAATCTAGGATTCAAAACCACTACCTCTGCACAACAAAGTGGACTCGTGAAGATCCAGGTTGAAATAGGTCTTCAGCAACCCATGCTTGCTGTAAGAGGCAACTTACAGCATCGGGTGCATTGCATGGATCGATGCTCATGATATTAATCACTGAATTGTCTGGTCCAGACTCGATTATTTACAGACCGCCTTCATATAGCTGGAGTATTGCTGAGTGCGGCGTTACACAACAAACCAACCAACCAACTATAATATCTGAATCATCCTTCCATGTACCAATTGCCAGAGTATCATAATGAAATAGTAACAGCTCCATAGACTTGCTTCCTGAAGAAAGCAATATGTTCTCATTTCAGCAATCAGTCTGCCCCCTCATGCATTAACTTCTCTGCCAAACATTGTTGGCGCCAGACACCTTCCAACATATTACATCTCCATGGACAACCCTGATGCCAGATATCACTGGATTCCATCCAGGCATGCTGCAACAATGTAATTGCAACACAGGTCTTGTGGAATAATTGCCTTGCCAATTCCTTTAACTGAACACCTTACAAAAACAGAATAGCATCTTTTTAAATTGCTATAAGAACTCTTATTTGCTGATAATTGAATTGTCCCATGTATGGGTGTAGGTGTCTGTGGTCCTTCATGCTGGATGAAACATTTTAACAAGACCTTCGTCTGTTTCAGCAAAAGCAAGTCAAAAACAAATATCATAGTACTGGTTACAAATAGTTTGTTTGTTGTTTAACGCCGCACTCAGCAATATTCCAGCTATATGACGGTGGTATGTAAATGATCGAGTCTGGACCAGACAATCCAGTGATTGACATAATGAGCATCAATCCACACAATTGGGATACGATGACATGCATCAACCAAGTCAGAGAGCCTGACAACCCAAGCCTGTAGCTCCCCTGAATTATTCTGGAATATTTGCATCCAATCATGAAGGTTATTTCATAGTACATACTAGAATGTGTTTTTTATTCATAAAAACAAGCCTCCCCACATCTTTTGATACATTAGTTCAAGCTGTTACTACAAACTTGTTTGCAAATCCAAAAAACAATAAAAGCAAAAAAATACAAGTACAGATGCTCATTAATTCAATGAAGCAGCATTACAGTTGATGCCATTTTGACTTTAATGGCAGAGAAGACTATTGAACTGTACCAGCAGTTTGGATGTGTATTGTGCTAGTAGATCTACCCATAATGAACAAGAACTAGTGTTATGCTAAGTTGAAAGACTTCCAAATTTCCAAATTCATTCCTTGGAAAAAACAGAAATTAAAAAAAATAATTGAAAAATTTGAGTTTCATGCAAAAATATTCACAAGTTGAGAGTTATGGTGCAGAGATGAATTTTCGAGATGACAAGTCCAATCTGTTCCCACGAAACAAAATATAATTTAGAAATATTTCCAAATATCAAAAGGCACCAGTTAACCTGATGAGCAAGGCATACGCCAAGTGTCCTTGAAAAACACTGAACAGTTTTCAAGTTATGGCTCAGAATGGGATGGGAACACCAACGCTTTTGTGAATTGTCATTTTATAAGTTTTAATACAACAAAATAGCATTAATATTTCATATTTACAAATATAGAAATGGCACTGTCGTAAATTGACATTTTCAATATGGCAGCCATGACAGCCATGTTTTAAAATCGGATCTGACTGACAAATGAACAATGAAAGCTCAAAACATGGGAAATGGAGGTGTCATGGCTACCATATCCAAACCGAAAATGAAATTCAATGAGCATTATTAATGTCACCATGCATTGCAGCTTCATCCATTCAATGTCTCAACTTTCTTGACCAAGCAATAAATACATGTCAAAATGTAAAACTCTAAAATGAATGATGACAACACACAGCTCATGTGAATTTCCATCAGGAACAATTTCTCAGCAGGTGTCGGCGTGAACCACAGACTGCTTGTGAAAATCATGATAATAACAAAACAACATTTTCATGCTGTCAGAGCAAAACCCATTGGCGTCACATAATTACAGAGTCAAAATGTTAGTGTGATGTTGGTCATCAATAACTGCTTCCACCGTAATCAAAAACCATTCATTACTTGCATACAGTTAGAGTAACCTTTCCTGTTAACTGGTTCTCATGCTGATAGAACCGGAGAAAACACTTCGCTTTTCATCAGCGTGTTGCCAACTATGATTTACATGCCGAAAGTTGCCTCCCATCAAACGCTTTTAGAGGACTTTCCTTGCTGATGTTGACAAACTTGTAAAATCTCTGAGTTTTTTCATTATGGGTCAAAGGAAGTGACAGAACAGTAATTACAGTTACACTTGGGGCATTTACCAGAGACAGGAACCAAAGTGATGCTTAACAGGATAGAGTCTAGGAGGATACACTTTACAGTTCTTGTTACACCTTTCGGTCATGCCAGATTAGCGGGGCATTTAACCTAATTCTTATAAAGATTACTTCCTACTTACCAACCATTAAAACATCAGTGATATTTATAGTAATTCCGATATTGCATAGAACTGCTATACTGATGGTAGTAAATAAGGAAATATAAATTGAAGAATTTGTTTAAGATCAATGATGTACTTTGAAAATACGCTGAGAATGTTTGACAATTTAATCCCATCAAGAAACTGACAAATCACTCCCTTATTTTTTATAAAACAAGGAATTCATCTTTCCTGAAGCGTAAACTTCCTTCTACAAAATTATTACCGGGTACGTGTTCACTTTTTGCCATGAGTATATTTTGTATATATTAATTTTGTTAAATGAGTGAGTGAGTTTGGTTTTACACCACTTTTAGCAATATTCCAGCAATATCTTGGCGGAGGACACCAGAAATGGGCTTCACACATTGTACCCGTCGGGAATCGAACCCGGGTCTTCAGCGTGACGAGCGAATGCTTTCACCACTAGGCTACCCGATTGCCCCAAATTTTGTTCAAGGTTTCATGCCAAGACAGAAAGAATAAGAGTATTAGGGTAGGGATTGTTCATACTTCAGAACTGTGATACAAGGAGTTCAATAGGTAGGGCAATAATTATGTCGAAAAAGTACCATGGGAAGTAGAAAATAGATCCTCTAACTGTATATTATATATATACTGGGGTTGAAACAATACATCTGTGCACTGGTGCATTGTGAGTTTCCATGCAACGATACGATAAACTTTTTTCTGTATCACTACTAAGATGGTACACTTGCTAAAATAAATAACTTCAGTAAACTACCTTTATAACGAACACACTTATAACAAACTGACCGATATAACAAACTTATATTTTAGTCCTAGCCATTTGTTGTATATATGCTGTACATATGCATTTAACGAACTACAGTTATTACGAACTCAAATTAATGGTCCCTTTGAGTTCGTTATAACCCTAGTTCACTGTACTCACTTAATTACCCCCCATCTGTTCGTCGGTCGAATATCGCAAAAAGTGTTGTAATGAGCTCACCTCACATTAGCCGCTACGAACACTGTGTCTTTAGCTAGCTTTTCCTTTTGAACCTGTTCTCAAATATTTAAAGTCGAGAAGTTTTCACGATTTGACATAAATATGTGTATCGCGATACATATCATATCGTAACCAATGTGTCGTGCTAGGTATCGTGTCGTGATGCATATCGTATCGTGACCTTGCTCCATCATTTCACCCCAATACATACCAACCAACATGTAATGTTATTATCTTTAAATATGAATCATGTCACCGTATTTCTTGGGCATAATACCCTACAAAATAACATTTTCAATGCTGATGTTTAATGTCTTAAGAGTGAGTGAGTGAGTTGGGTTTATAACGCTGCTTTTAACAGTATTCCAGTTATATCACAGTGTGTCAGCTTCATGTGGGAGGAAAGCCCGAAGTGATGCAGGTCTTAGATGTTTACTACTTTGGTGAAACCCACGAGCACATGTATGGTGTTGACAAACTTAAAACATGATCAGGG